TCTACAGTCATGTACTGTCTACCTCATCCTATTTACCTGGTTTCTCTGCCTGTAGTACCACTGGGTAAGAATCCACCATTCAAGGCTAAGCTGCTGCTCTATCAGCAATATCTGTATCTCTGCAGTCAGGGACAGAACTATAGAAACAGAAGCCGTTAGACAGCATGGACTACTATTTTTAGGAGTCAAAGTAAAAATGCTCCAAGGATCTGGCAGGAACATTTGGCCTCCTAAGCCTCCAATTCTCACAGCCAGGACACTACTTTAGTTTTCTCTGATGTTTGTCTGGGAGATAAAAGGAAAGGAAATGTGCTGACACTCTAAACCTACTGATGCTTAGTTTGTAAAACATACGATATGACACATACTGTAATACAGGTCCTGGCTCTGTTACTTCTCTTAAGCACTTTTTCTTCCTAGACCAATGTTCCAAGTCCATAAAGTAATATATTGCCTTGAAGCAGAGTACAGAAAACCTCAGCAATATGCCAATCCTCTGGTAGGAGAGAAATGTGAAATTGGCTGGACTAGCAAGGAATGCAGAAGGGAGGTGTTATTGCATCCCATTTCATGGTAGCCATTTGCGAAAGGGATGCTGGAAATGAGTGATTTTCTTTTCCTTGGCAAGGTTTCCTTCTTTCAGCACGTTCTCTTTCCTATGGTATGTTTTTGGAGTCTTAACAGTATGACTCTGGGTACCGTGTGTACATACATATGTAGGAATAACGTTTATGTTTCTCAGAATAGGCACTTTTTGAAGGCAGTAAATCTAAAAGTAAAGTTAATATAGCCTATATTTAGTGTTCATCTTCTCACTTTGCTGATGTGTATGCTGAACAGAAGATCACAGATTTGAGTCAGTCTCGCAAAGAGGCCGAAATCGGCAAATGAGTGTATTCAGAGCCAGGAAAGTCTTGCCAACTCGACTGTATCTGTTGAAAAGGCAGACTGGGAGGTGCATTTCTCTCAAAGGTGATGATACAGAAGGAGAAAAGCCTGTGACAAAGCTGTCAAAGAAAAGCTTGTGTGTGCGGCTCAGGGACAATTACTATGCTCAGGCTCTGTGTCACAGCTACTTCATTTCACAGATGTGCTACTTAGAAAGTTCTCTTTTGTACCTCTCATAATTGCACAGATTCCCGTTCTTAGCAGTACAGAAAGAGAAGCCCCAAACCTGTTAGAGTAGTGATAAATTTATATGTTAAAAACTAAAAATTCATTGCATAGGGAACATGTAAAAATTTCAATCTGGCATCTAGATGTGAGAATTTTGTATCTAAGTTGTTGCTTAAGGAACATTAAACTACTTGATGAATTTCATTCATGCTGAAAAAGCAAACCTAAGTATATTTGTTCCTTGGGCGGTTTCTGAAAAAGAATGGGGATACAATTCTGATGTTTAGAGGGGGAGGTTTCTTAGCTTGTTGGATAAGAATGCTCTTCATCTTTCCCAAGAGAAAAAAAATGGGTGGCATAAGAAGATAATCTTTTATAAGCGACTTTGTTACTACTTCACTATAGACTGCTGATGGTAAGATTTAGTTTGTAGGGTGCTGCATCTCTTCCCCTGAGGCTCGGACTTGATGACTGGGCTGACATGCTGGCATGGCCCATGCTAGTTCCAATGTTCCCTAGTGTGGGATTTACTTTTTCTTTTTTTTTGTAACGTAACATGAAATGGTGATGTACTTGACATTCTTCTAGAAAGTAGGCAGAAATTATAAATAATTAATAAATGCAACAATTTCCTAAATATCAACTCCTCTTTCACTATTTGATAAAATATGAGGGTATTTCTATCACTAGAATTTAAGTTATTAAAGTCTTACTCTCTTTGTGTGGATGAGGCAACAGACACCTGAGGCAAATACATCATTACCTGGTTAGGCTAGTCTCTCTCGTTGGTAATTAAAGAGTGAGTGAGAATGTTGCCCAAAAAGATGGATGAAAAAATGCTACTATTATTTTAAGGTGTAAGTGTCCAAGGAAAGAAAGAGTAAAAGGAGTATCTAAGAAAAGCTAGCTCCTCCCCCAAATTTTGCATTTTCTAAACTAGTTCAGACATACAAATAAATCTGATGAAAGGCATTTAGACTTAATAGTTCCTCACACAGAAATGACAGAGTCATGAGACCAACTATTATTCCTGTGTCCCACCTATGAAGCAAAGCAGGTCCCACACGGAATGGCAACACAGTGCCTCATTAACAAGAAAAGCTTTGTATGCTTTTCTTAACAGGTAAAAATATAAGAGGGAATCAAGCAAGAGAGATAAATACCTTTGTTTCCACCCCCACCACAAATTGCTTTGGCATATTTTAAGAGATAAATGGATCCATACAAAATTTAAATAGCTTTTTCCTTTCTTTTTTGGCAGCTTCAAAAGTGGGTCAGGTCTAGGAATTATTAATTTCTTGGCCTGAAAACCCAAGTGTTTTAAAATAAGATTTCTTTTTTGGAGGATCAGCTTTTTTGGAAGTGTGCTGTGTGTGTGTGTGTGTGTGTGTGTGTATGCTAAACAAAACATAATTGTATTTTTTCTAAGTCTGGAGAATTGTATAATATAGAGTAGAAGGAAAACATTTTGTCTTCGTTTTGGCTGTTATGTAGAGAGAAATCAGATCATGTGCCTGATTTTTAAAGGTATTTGAAAATAGCGTCCCTCTCATCTCTTCCAAGGGCTGTTTTTCATGACCATTGTTTCATTCTTTTTATTTCCTCCATGAAGACACCACAATGTGAATCTCTGTTGAGGTGCACTTTGCAGAACACTCTTAGAAGTACTCAAAATGCTGCTTGCACTCATCCATTCTTGGAATGGGGAGGCCAAGAGCACTCAGTTCTAACCCATGAGATCTGAGTCCTACTGCACTGACCATCACATGTATGGGGCCTTACAGAAAGACAACGTTCTGAATATGTGGCACTGACCAAGGCCACCACTTTATAAGTCTTGTTTGTGTCTCCTGTCATCTTCATGTGGGAAGATGGGGTTGGCAGAAAGACTCTGATTATTATTTAACTTGGTTCTCATTAATCCTTGTAAATAAGCAAATGACAGACATTGGCTTATTAGGAGGTGCAAACTAAAGAGGAAAAAATGCCTAGAAAACTTAGTGGGTCATCTCATTCTTAAAGATTTCCTACAATGAATGCAGAGGATTTAATGCAGACAAAATATCTTTTGGTTTGTTTCCAATTAGTTCACAGATTCAACCACCCAACCAGGAGGAAGGAATGGGAGGGAGTAAAAAGGCCAGAGCACAATTTAGAGGGTCCAGCTTCCTGGGGGACGCAACCCTAGTACTGAGCTCCAGGGTAGAGAATTTCTGGATGGTCAAGGTCTCCGGGTAGATTTTCTGGATGCAACAAGAGTGTGCCAGACTCCCTGTGATGAGGATTTACAGATCACAAAACTACAACAGTCTAGGAAGCCCAGTGACAAATGTCAGAAATGCCTTCAGTCCTCAAGCACTTCTTTAGAAAGAGGGAGAGGGAGAGACAGAGACAGAGACAGACTAATATGTATTGTTGACCTTTGGGAGAGAAGCTTGTCTTCAGGATCACGTCATCCCTGTGTAACCGTGAATTCTAAGTGATCTTGTCTGAGTTAATATTGTGAACCTGACAGTGTCAGGGAGGCATTTGGTTAAGGAAACATAAACCACATTTATCTGGGGAGATTTGCTGCAACATGCCTCGGTGGCAGTTATTTTCATCGGTGGCTTTTCCTCACCAACTTCATCAAAGTGTTGATGAGAATACTCTGTGGTTTCTCACCACCAGAGAACACAGAAGAGGTGTGCAGGTCCCAAACGACCCCAAATGGCACAGTACACATGTGGATTTGCCATTAACAGCCACATCGTCTATGCAAAAAATTTTAGATGACTTGTAATGGGGGGGGCTGGAGGTCTGAGAAGGATGCAATGTCCTCTAAGGTTTATGCAGCCCCAAGAGTGCCTGCTTGCAGACAGCACTGGACTTGCAAGATCTAAGTACATCTCCAAATCTGCCACTTGCCAGCTGCATTGCTTTTGGCAAGTCACTTAACGATGCTGAGCCTCAGCTTTCTCTTCTAGGATAGGGCTATTAATAACCTTCCTCCCAGGGCTGTTTTATGTGTGAAAGCAGTTTGTAAGCTCTCTTAGGAATTATTATTTTAGAGCTCAGAAAGCTACCCCCAGGTTCTTCCCAGAAGACTGATGGCAAGCTTTGCCTACAGGGCTGTCTAATTCAGAGCTGAGGTAGAAGAAGCCACAATTCTTGCTTTCCCAAAGACAGTGGAATACAACTCAAATAGCAACCTATGATAGAAATAGTTTACTCATCTCTACACAAAAGCACAGCACAATATAACCCTTTTCCTTCAAGAATAATATTCTTTTGCACAGAACTGATCAGAAGTATAGAGTTTTCTGTAGTGCCATTGTATCTTGCCTTTGACATTTTTTTTTTTTCTTGTTTAGAGCTAGAGCTTACACACTGACATCTCCCAATATTTTTAAGGTCATCAGCAGGTCAGTTAAAAGGAATGTATTGTCCAGGGGTTAGTTACTGGAGGAGGTGTGAAGCTACAGAACAACTGTCAAAACAGTGTGTCTTATAAGAAAGAAAAATCAACCAACAGAAAACTCAAACTCTAATCGTGAAACTCCCATCTATCTTTAGCATCCTAAAAATTTTTATGTCTTCAGGTAAGATCAAGGTTATTTTTCTTCTATTCAAAAGTAATAATGTTGTTCCTAAATAAAAAGTATATACTGAAGGATAATGGAGAGAGGAAGCAACATTTTATTCTGTGCTTCAGGTTAGTTTGGGGCAACAAAGAGAACATAAGCCTAAAGGATTTTTGCTTTTTTTTTTTGTATCAGAAGGTGTCTGGAACAAAGTGCAATGAGGGAAATGAGCTCCCTAAAAAAGGTGAAATGTGAATAGTGTGTGGAGTATTTGTGAGTAATGAATCTTCAAGGGAATTATAGCACCAGTGGAATAGCTGACTAGAGTGTCTTCCTAATCATGTACCTAGAAATACTAAGGCTATCAGAGGTGTTCTGCTCGTTCTGTTTGAACAGTTTAAAGAACACAGGGCATCCACATTTTCCCTTAGAAGGGAAGATGTTGTTATAAACCAATAGGAAAACACATTCTTAATGTTATAGTCAAGTTCATAGAGGGCTACTTCATATGATGCACACTGTTTTATTTTGGCAACTCATCATTTCTTTCAATTATAAAGACAGATAGAAGGAAGAAACACTTTAGTTAGCATTTCTCTGTGCCTTTTCCTTTGATTTGACCCTGAATATCTAGAAATTTTCTCTTGGTAAAGAGGAAATTCCAGAATCTGACATTTCGACCAAGGCAACGTGTCTTCTCTGTATATAGCCTATGCTTTAAGTTGCATTTAGAATATTCTCTTTGTTTCCCAAAATTAAGTTAATGAATCCATTCAACATTTAATACTGAATTGTACATCCTCCATGAAAGCTTAATAATTCCTCACCCTGCCATACTGCTTCCTGTGTAGTAAGTACATATCTAACCAGCTTGATCATATGGCAGTTGGCCTGAATGGAAGTTACTAGGCTTATCCTCCAAGAGCGACTAAGTAATACATAATCATCAATAATAATTATTACAATGAGATCCAGAAGGAATAATAATAAGATAACAAAACTAAAGAGAAAAAACTTGGGCTTCTAAGTATAGCATCCAATTCATCCATGGAGGAAAGATGTTCACTTGGGCTAAACACAAACATTGCTAGGTACAAACATGAGCATAAAATAAACACAAGTGACTCTTAAAACCAAATAACCAGTAGCTATATATGTAGAATTTTACAGTGTCTAGTACTCTTTTCTCATATTCAGCATGGATCCATACCTTATTCTTGGGAAGACGGGGATAAAGGGCTGAAAAGACCACGTGAATTGACAAATAAGTTGGAATCCATAAAGTCAAATGCTTACCTATGCTTCCTGTTGTCAGAATTACTTTGATTTAGATGTCACCAAATATAGTAGAGAACATAAAGACTCTGTGCTACATGTAGTGGAATCTGTTTACAATTAGCTATTACTCCTCTGGGTCTGAGTGCTTGGGAGAGATCCCCTTCAGGGAACTCCAATTTCATTGCCTTCTAATCCCCAACAAATATTTGCGCCTACCATGACCTAGAGTGATGCCTTTAAGTTTTTCTGAATTGTCTGAAGCAATGGAAAAAATATTTAATTAGGGAAAGTTTGGAAGAGTTAGTGTATGAGATCTAAAGTGGCAGATGTTTAGACATTTGCCGTGTTCTGTGTAGCTCAAGAGCTACAGTGGACTGCCATGACTAAGAATACTGGGGATGGTAATTAGTGAAGAGGAGAATCAGAGCTTTAAAAAGTTCATGATTCTATTATCTACAAACATATTTAGTGTTGGGGATCAATCATAACTCTACATTAGTAACAAAACAAGGTGACACAGTGACACTTCTCATTTCTGGCACATTATTCAAAACCTAGGGTTTAGCACAAAAGTTAGAAATGACATTCTGAGTTGACTAACTGCATGTGTGGTTAAGGAAAAAAGCTTCATTGTGGATATATTAACTAAATGTCCATCAGAGTTGTAAGAGTAAGGTTTTCCCTCATCCCGATGTGAATTAGGTATCTTGGAAAAAATAGCAATGCATGTAGCAGGAAAGGCTTAGAGCAAGTATATTTAAAAAATTATTTATTCAGCTATTTATTTTACTTAGGAGTGGAAAAGAGAGGGAGAGAGGTATTTTCCATCTGCTGGTTCACTCCCCAATAGCCTGCAACGTCATGTCAAAGCCAAGAGCTTCAAACAGAATCTGAATGTCTCCTACGGGTAAGTAGGGACCCAGGTACTTGAACCATTTCCTGCAATCACAAGTGGAGCTGGAACTCAAATTCAGGCACTCCCATATAGGATGGAGGCATCCCAAGAGACATCTCGTTGTGCCAAGGTCCAAGTCAATGCCAAGAATCTTACAGTTTTACATAAGGAATTAGCTGCAGGCTTTACCTACTCTTCAGTTCATATATGTTTGCACAAGATTAAATTTTGTTTAACACAAAAACTAGTTGTAGAGGTATCTATTTGTGTGGTTAGAGACTGCTATAAATTAATCAGAAATGAAGAACAAAGTTTTCAGCATTTTTTGGGTAGCTTCAATCAGTTGACTAAAAATGCATCTCTCACAAAGCTATTCACAGAATCATATGCATGTTGCCTATGAAATGGAGACTACAGCTTATTGCACAAAGGCCAGGATAGTAAAATAGAGAAAAGAATTAGTGTCATTCCTTTCTTCATTGAAGGGAAATGTACACATAATTTGCATACCAAAAACTAAAAACAGGAAACTATTACTGATCCATCTCCTGAAAAATGCTCAGGTTTGACTACTTAGCATTTGCTGGTATAATCAGGACCATGTACAAAGATACATTAAATTTCTGTAAAGATATTTTTCTTTGATAAAACTGTTTTTCATTGCCATAAGGAAAATCATGAAATTTCAAACAAATAAAACAATAAACTATCACCAAACAAAACAAAATCCTGTGGTCAAAATGCCTTGGATTAAAAAAAAAAAACAATAACCTAGTCTTAAATCGCTTTGCCCATATAGCAGAGGAAATGACATCAGTCATAAATGGATTTTCCAGGAATGCATGACCTGGGTCCCTGATGAAAATTCATTAAAAACAAAATGAAATACTGTATTATCTTATATCTTACTTTATGAAGAACTACAACTTGAAAATAGGCCATTTTAATGGAAGATTTTTATGGATGTGATATATTTTTTCTCATCATCACAACTAATTCCCGTTAAAATGGTCATAATTCCAGAAGGATGATAATGCATTGCTTTAATTCATGAAAAGTCCAAGGATCGCAACATAAGTAGGCAGGATGACAAGAAGGAATAAAGGCAGCAAGGGAGAGAAGGTGAAGGAGTAGGATGGAGGAAAGGAAAATGGAGTGGAGTACTATTAGAACATATTAACATGATAATTTCAAACTTCTTTGGATTTTGACTTTTTTTGGACTTTTTTTAATCTGGATTATTTACACTATTTAACTCTTCAGTGATGTATTTATAGTAGAGTGAGTAAATTTTTAAAAAATAAGGCACAAATAAGTGTTGCTCTCTGATTGTGTCTTCTGAAAGTACACCACAGATTGGTTTCAGGAAATGGACTTGAGGCACATTTTGCAGAGGTATCTCTTTCTCAGCTTGCTGCTTTCCTACAGATGGCTAAAGCAGGGGTATGGAACATGCTGTCATATTTCATTCATAACACACATGTACTGTAGCTCTAGGCAACAGATGGACAATCACTTGTTTAAACTACAAATGTGAAATACTAAGGTAGAATAGCAATATTTCTGGAAATGTATATGAAGAAGAAGCCTTTCCAAGCCAAGAGGAATGGTAAGAGGCTGTGAGGTTGTATCAGTGTTTCCCTGATATCCCTAACAGCTGCTATCATTTCCCCAACACCCTTCAAAACTTGAGAATGGAAGGATCAGGGGGCAGCCGACACAGATTTGACAGGAGAAGCCCAAACCATATCAAATAGAAATAACACTGCTGTCCTTGGCTGGTTCACATTACTAGGATTTTTGCTAATGAGGAAGATGATTGGAATTTGTGTTTTCAGTCCTCTCTGTGTCCATCAACTCTCGACTATTGCTCCATTGAAAAAGAATTGTTTATCTCTTTGGATCAGAATATCAAATACTTAACACAATGCAGTTGGGCTTGTTATCCTGCAAATGTTGTCATAAACATCTTTACAAAATCTTTCACAGAAAATAATCATAATGTTGGTAAGCCCATCTCAGCGATCAGCATACCCCAAACACCGTCAATGGCTTCTATAGTGCCAAGAAGGCATTAACAAGGAAAACAACCCACGTCATGGATCTGCACAAAGGTCAGCATCTTGCAACCTTGATGCCTTATGGTGAGAAGCAGATAGTTTTGATTTTCAAAGCTCATTTTGTCTGTTGCTGATGAAACTTGATCTTGAGTCAGTCTGTGCTGGGATCCAAACATTCATAAAATTTCATTTTGAAGTGAGTTGCAGAACCCATGACAGGGTGAGTGGTTTTCCTTTTCCATGTTTCCCATGTGACAGAGGATTATCAAATACTTGTGCAGCTGACAGTTTTTAAGAAATGTACACATTTTTATGAACTTTGTTATAGATTTTTGCTTTTTCCTCTTATCTATGTATTTAAACAATAATAAACAAGATAGTATAGTTTAATGATAAGGTAATATCTTTGTATCTGTTATAGGCAACATTTCATGCAACTAAAACAGTTCAGAGTGACTTGGCATTGTTTAAATCAAATGATTAATAGAAAAGTAACATGAATCATATATTTAAGATATCAGGATAAAATATGGTAGGATCCCTTCCTTACTATATCTAGTGAAAGAAAAAAATCTAAAGCTAAATATTTCTGCAAAAGGATGTGTGCACATTCATTATTATAAAAGTATGTCTATATTAAAAAGAAATTTTGTTTAAAAATCTTTGGTAAAGATACTCTGAGGTTATGTGACAAGAATATACTATAAAAATTTATAAAGAAGCAGTATTGTGCTAGCAATGTCACATTGATGGGCTTGTGACACTATTTTCTTATAATTTCCTTTTGGCATGTAAACATTTGGTTACATAAAGACTTAAGTATATGAAAAAGTAGGCTGTTATTGCATTTTTATAGCATAAATATTTCAGTCTTCGCCTTTTGGCAAAATTTACAATAATGTGATGGTATTTCCCAAGATAAAATCTCTCAATAAATTGGACTCTCTGCTTTTGGCCTAAAGACAAAGTATGGAACAGAAAACAAGCCAACAAATCAGCTCAAGCAGATCACCCCAGTTGTCTAACAGTCAGTGCGCTCTGAGGCCGTCGGGATTGTCTGGTGTTTAATTTGGAAGACAGCAATTCAAAGGCACACTTGGCATTTTATCCTACAACTAACATGCTGCCCTGCATGAGTCTCACTATATTTCACATTGTGAGCTCAAGCATAATGGAAGCAAGGTAAGAAGAGCACAGTGGTCAAAGCAGCTCGGAGAAGGTGTCACGTTTATGGTCTGAACACAAGGCTGGTGATTGACACAAGCAAATATGCCATCAGTAGTGAAGATGACTGAGCTCCACAGTGACCACAGGCTTCAGAATTTGTTCTTGTTTTGTTTGTTTTTTTTTTGTTTTTGTTTCTTTTTTTTTTGTTAAAACACTTTTATTATTTCTATTCAAGTAAAATAATCAGAACTCCTGAGGCAAGGGTTGTGATAAAAAAAATGCACAAATAATTGTTCATTACCATTCTGGATGTTAAAGGTTAAAAATCAGACTAGAATCTATCAGTTCGAAATTATGAAAAGCTATTTGTGGAATAAGGAAAGGGGATACAGGGGAATGTAATTATATGTTATATCTGATTTCTTAAAGTAGGTGTTCGGCATATAGGAATTTATTATATTATTTATACCTTTTTCATATTTAAAATACTCCATAATTTAAAAGTATATACTTGTGGAAAATCTGAAGAAAGGTTTAAGAAATCTCAATACAAAATACTTAGTTGACAAAATAACAACTTGCCACTACTAAGCTAGGTGGCTCTCAAATGAAACATGCTAGAACTTAATAAATATGGCTCTGCAGTTGGCATGCAAGTGTTCCACTGGCTAATAAGAATTTGAATAAGGATTCTAGGCAGAGACTGCATATTTTTAGCTCAGAAAGACAATTTTTTTTCCCTGTGATTATCTTTGAAAGTGTGGTATAAATGTCACGTCGATGATATGAAAATGTCTCCTGCAATATGTAATTTGAGTTGCAGAAGGATTAGGATAATAATGAAACTGTGGTTTCACAATCTTTTTAAGATTTCTTTTTTAAAGTCAACTAGACAAAGCTTCACAATCTTATTTCCTGATTTGCAAATGTCAGACAAAAATGGGCCTGGGTCTGGAGGCAAAAAGGAATTTGAACTATTCTTTACATCTTTCTCTAGAGAAAAATACGCCAATTTTGGAAGATGTGTTTGGATATTGGAAACACCATGACAGTACTCATCTTTCTAAGATGAAAAGTGGGACAGTACTGTAAATGTTTCATTCTAGAGAAAACCATGATTGTATTATGTGGTGGCATTGAAAAGGAAAACCTTATGATGATGCTGTGGAATAAAGGACTTTTCAGACATAACCCACCCCATCTCCCTGGCCAATTGCTTCTCCCAGGATACCAAATTTCATGTCTTTAGGAAAAGTTTGAAGTTCAACTGCTCATTAACCATAGGCCAATAATTGTTTTCAATGAGTTCTGACCATTGGCTGCTAGAGACTTTAAATTTCAATGGCTGCAAGTTTTGGCGTGCTTCAACTTATGCTTTTTGAAACTTTAGTCCTTTAGAGACCAATATTGACATTATACATTCTTCCCACTGCACCGAATCTCACCCCAAGAGACATGAGTGTCATGCAGCAACAGCAAAAAGTCTGTATTTTAAATCCGTGGCAAAAGAATGGCTAACCTTTCTAATTACAGGCAATGTGGAAGTGATAGGATGGAGACTTTAAACCTGAAAATCACCTGTGATTTGGCAGCCTCACCCAGGAAAAACTGTGTGACAGCAAATACCACACTAAAAAAAGCCATTCAACCAGATGAAAAGTGAGACAAACATGGGGATTAAAAGTTACAGGAATGCAGAAGTGAATGGGATGGAGCATAATCCGTGCAAAAATGTGTAAGTACTTGGAACAAAGGCCCACAGAGGGCTGGCATGATTAAATGTGAAATGTGTTATTTTGGTGGGAAGTGAAAAAAAAAATCTTATCCACTATGTGTTTCTAAAGAAAAATTAACAGCAGTTAAAGAACTGAGACCACCCCACAGATGATTGCATTTCCTCTATTTTTCCTAATGGTTTCCCTTGTGTTTCACTCTTCTCAGCGCCATCCACCAACCAGCTACACAGGTGACCGAATCTAGAGGTCGGTGCTTGCCTTGGCAGTCAGCACTCGGATGCGGGCTGTGTTGCAGCTCTTGCAGAGGATGTGCCCATCCAGCGGGTAGCAGCCTTGATTATCACCTTCCGACAGAAGACCACCACAATCCTAGAAGAGGAAGGCAATGGGGAACAGTGTCATTGAAACCACATGCCTTAGTTTTCCATGAAATAGCTATTTACCACCTTCCTGGTTGTGTACCTCTCTACCTGGTGTACCTGGCCTACCTACTCCATTCTCATCCAGCCAACAATAGGAGTTGATGAAAGGACAATAGGCTCCTAACCACTAATTCATCTTCACCGTTTATCATGAGCTTCAGGATCTCTCAAAAGGAATATACAGGTGCCAGAATGGAAGGTTTTGGCCATTTCTGGGCAAAAGCAAACGCAAAGTGATTGCTGCCAAGCAATCCTAGGATCCCTAATCCAAGGACCCCTAATGAATTCTGCAATAGTTACACCAATTGTAGAAAGAAAACAACATCCTAACATTTGTGGCCAGCACTGCTTTGCTGTATTACCCAGAGGACAGAGCATGATGTAGACTGGACTGGGAGACACCACCCTTAGGACTGCCATAGCCTGCATCACTGCATGCAAGGTTGACTGCTACTCTGAAAATAATGGCTGCATTTTCTACCTTTCTAAGCTGTTGGGAGGATCAAAGAGGATAATGGATGTGAATGTATTATGAAAAAAATGCAGTTACATAACTATAAAGGATTAGGCCACTACTGACAGTATCACAGAAAGTCCACTTGGGAAATATTTTATAGTAGTTAAAATGTTGGCCCTTGCCTATAGACACAATAGAATTTTCCTTGGAAACTAAATATACTGGATTTCATCTAATGGTGTGTATCTTCATTACTTTGCAAAGGCCAGAACTGCTGCAAAACATTGCTCTGCTATCTACCATGATGGTACCAGAACTCACTGTATTTGACACATAATAAAATTGAAGCTCATTCTTAGATTGTAGCAGAGGCAGTAGTTAGTGTTGCACAAGATTGGCTATTCTTGAAAGAACAAGCAAATATGGTGCCTCTATAGACAGTTTGGAAACTGAAGAATTAACAAAACAAGGTCTTTTCTAATTGGATGAACGCAAAATATGTTTCATGGATGCCACAGTTTTGAATGTGCAATGAGTTGACATCTGCAGGCTCCTGGACACCTCCAACAAGCCAGAGCTAGAATCACCAATACACTGAATACTGGAGTTAAAAGGAGCTTTAGAGGAGAAGGTAAGAAGCCAAGAGGGAGGCCATCTCTCTGTTCTCAGGCAGAGTCTGATGGCAGGTCAGAGCAAATATCTGCCCCTTATAATTCAATGTTCCTTCTGTTTTTATAGTCTTCATTTCTAAAACAATCCTCATCATTATGAAACCACCTTAATTTAAACAGCCACTGTCGACTCTGAGAAGAGGAAGGACCCATTTAATGCAAGTTTTAGTGGGGAAGCAAAAGGCCTGTTTGGTGTGAACATCAAGTGTGTGAGCAGTGCTGGGAACCTACCTTTTCTCAGCCTTGTCTTCTCCATACGTAAAATCCCTAAAGTATGTGCTAGTTCTTATGCATTCATATATAATTTGGGATCATATGTAAAATGATGGTTGGACATTGTTGTGCTCTGTTTCCCTAGTAATTAAAACCTTGCATTGTCTTTCATTATCTTTTCTCATATTGAGTCAGAGAGAGGCATGCAACTTGGGCTCTAGGGCAAAACAGAACACGCTGGCTGAAACAGATGGTCAGTTAAAACTAAGCTGTAAAAGGAATGAATGTAGTCCCACAGAGCCAGGGGTCGTGCCGATGGTCCAGCTGGTCTGTATCCTGGGAGGAACTCCTGCTTAAACCAGATGAACCCTACTGAGCAACTGGAATTAAGAAAGTCTGTATTTCAAAGATTTCACACAGACAGAAAAGGGGCTGAGGAGTGTTGTACTCAGAGAAGTTAAACACTGCTTCCAAGCAGGGGATCTGGTAACTTGTAAAATTTGGAAAAGAGAACATTCAAAAAAAAAATCAGAATGTGGCACCCATTTGATGCCCGAATAATAAGGCGGAAGATGTGATGCTGCTGCTTGGCTGCACGCATGGCTCCACCTGCCTTAGGCTTCAGCTGGTCCCATTTGAGAAGGCTTCTTATCACTCCCAGCCTGGATTACAGGTTCTTTTATGTCTGTATATTACTCCCTGGAGCCTAATTCTCAGGTAGACCTTACCTGACCTCTTGTCCAAAAAGTCAGCTCTTACTAATATGTGAATGAATCTCTGGGGACTTTGAACAAGAATCCCAGCTCCTCCGAAATGTTGAGTTCTTGTTCTAAGTGGCAGTGGTACCCCTGCCCTGTATGAGCAGTGACCAAAGCAACAGGGCCAACACTGAGGACTCAGTAGAAGGGTAATACCACTTCTCCTTAACTCAGTACTTCATAATTCACACATTTTTGAGCTTCAATCTCACAGCCATATTGGTGGGAGAGCCATATAGAGAACCTTTGTATAGATGGGAGACAGAAAAGTAAAATGACTTATCCAATGTTTCCGCATTTAATATCAGATCTAAAATCAAGTCTTTTGAATATAAGCACTAAGGGCTTCCCCAGATTTCACAAAATTCCTACGATCTTGAAAAGCTAGCTTTGGCAGGGTTTTGGGGCACAAGGTACAGACCTCACAGCGGTAGCACTGGACATGGAAGTCACGATCTAGAGCCACAATGCGGACGGTCTCCTCCTGGCCAGGAGCCGGCATAATAGGCTCCTTGCACACAGAACATCGGGGAGCAAATTTCCTGAAAATGGAGAGAACATTTTGGTTAGATACTGAGCATAAACATTGACTGAGGGGGAAGATAGAGTTTAGAAAAGATGTAAACTTGGCAGGAGTCAGCATGCCTGATCTGTACTTGTCTGGGAGTGCTGTCTCAGCTCTACATGAAGGTACTGGATTCTTGAGCTCTTTGCAGATGGAAAAATCTTGTGATATTTGTTGAGGTGGGTATGAGTGTGTGAGCAGCTCACACAGTCATGGGGTGTATAGTATGGAATTTGTCTTTGCATAGATTCCCAGTAAGAACCCTGAGCTTGGGCTGGGCTTCATGGAGGGCAGAAGGAAGGTCCTGCAGGCCCCTGCTTGTCTGCTTTCTGCTTCTAGACCCTGTTTCTTTTCATCAGACCCTATCCCGGAGGCAATATGAAATTAGTATCCTGGCCTCATTCCCACTTACCGGACCCCCATTCTTAGAAATGAGCCTTGAATTCTAGGAATTGAGACAAAAAACCTCAACTAGCTTTACAAAATGGCAGAGGTGAGTTTAAAAACACATTATAAAACCTTTCATCTGTCACATCTGAAATTCTTATATTTTGTTTGAGAGGAAAAATTTCAAGAACTGGGAATTTCTTCATTCTTCAAGGGATTTTAGCATTTTTAAGTGGGACATATATGCAAAAATATATGCATATGATTTGAGACTGCCTGAAGAAGTTTAATATTTTATTATTCAGTATTTTTTAGAAATTTAGAACAGTTTAAGTTACAAAACAACAATTGTAAGGTAGCAATACAAATGCCTATACACTGCTTACTCCATTTATCCAATTTATAGCTCATATTAGTGTAAGTGTTACAATGAATTAACTCTACCCAGCTTCCCTGATTTTGTTTTATCAAAACTCCTTTTATTCCTCCCACCCCTCCCCAAGGGACTGCTGAATCACATGGCATTTCCTAATTTCTAGTATTTCAAGAAATATACATACTGATTTCCACTGTGGTTGCTTTGATTTATCAATAGTGTATAAGAGTTCCTCTTTTTCCAATGCTTGCCAGCATTTATGATTATTTTTTTTAATCACTGCCATTCTCACAGGGGTGATTTCGATGGCTAGTGATACTAAGAATTTTTTTCATCTATTTCTTGACTACATTTCTTCTTTTGAGATCTGTTGAGGTCCTTTGCTCATTTGTCAACTGGATTTTTTTTTTTTAAAATTTCAGTTGCTGATACATTCTGCATTTTAATCCTTTGTCAGCTAATTAGCTTACAAATATTTTCTCCCATTCTATTAACTGTCCTTTTATTCTATTGTTTTCCTTGCTGTGCAGAAGCTTCTGAGATTTCTATAATCCCATTTGCTTGGCTTTGCTTTGTTGCCTGTTTTCTGAGGCCTTATCCAGAAAACCTCACTGCCTAACCCAGTGTGTTAGTTATTCCGCTATGCTTTCTTTAAGCAATCTCATAGTTTATACAAAACTAAAAATGTAAAAACACAATCTTGAGAGTTGATTTTTGCACTTGATGAGTGAGATCTGATTTCATTTGTGTTTTCTTCCATATATACATTTAATTTTGGCAGCACCATTTATCAGGGAGATTATCATTTCTCCAACACATGTTCTTGATATCAAGTGGCTGAGTAGGCATTGTGGTATGACAGGATAAGCAACCACCTGCAATGCATCTATCAATATCAGAATACCAGTTCCAATCTGGGTTGATCCACTTTTGATCCAGCTTCCTGCTAATAAGCCTGGGAAAGCAGTAAAAGGTGGCTTAGGTACTTGAGTTCCTGCTTCCTGTGTGGGAGACCAGGATGGATTTCCTGGTTTCTGGTTTCAACTGGGGCCCACCCAGCCATCTGGGGAGTAAAACATAGGATGGAAGATCTGTCTTTTCCTCTCTGTCATTCTGCCTTTCAAGTAAATAAACGCTTAACAAATTTTGACAGCATCTACATGGATTTCTAGGTTTCCTGTTCATTTCATTGATGTGTGTACTGGTTTTCATGCAAGCAAAGTTATCATTATTATTGCTTTAGTAGTGCGTTTTCAAGTTAGGTCAAAGGATGACTCCAGTTACATTGGTTTGGTTATTCTCCAGATTTACGATTCCACACAAATCTTACATAGTTTTTCTGATTCTGTAAAGAATGTTATTGGTATTTTGAAAGCGATAACATTGAATCTGTTGATAGTTGAGTCTAGTCTACTGATTTCTGTCTGTAGATAAACATTTTGTTCCATTTTTTGGTGTATCCTGAATGATTTCTTTTTTCAGTGTTTTCATAATTATCCTTTGAGAGATTTTAGTTTGCTTTATTAAATTTAATTGTAAACAGTATGGTGAATAATATTTCTTCAGTGAAATAATTGTTAATGAAATATTATGTTTTTATATTCTGTGACATTAGTGAATTGGTAATTCTAACAAATTTTGGGTGTGGTGTTTGTTTTTTTCATATACAACATCATGTTATCTGCAAATGAGTATATTTTGATTTTCTCCTTTGCAGTTTCTACTTCTTTAGTTTTCTTACATTCCTTAATTACCCCTTGTAAAACTTTAGATACTATATTGAATAAAAATAATGAAAGTGGATATCCTTGTCCTCTTTCAGATTTTGAATGGCAGCACTTTCAACTATTTCCCATTTAGTATGATATTAGATTTTGCTTCTGCTATAAATAATCCTTTTAAATTTGAGGTATCTTCCTTCTGTACCCAATTTGGGAAGGGCTTTTATTGTGGAGGGAATATTGATTTAAACTATTTTTTTTTATTTGAAAGACAGATTTTACGGACAGAGAACCGACAGAAGTCTTCCATCTGCTGGTTCAGTCCCCACGAGTCTGCAACGGCCAGAGCTGAACTGTTCTGCAGCTAGGAGCCAGGTCTGCTAGTAGGTGCAGGGGCCTAAGGACCCGGGACATCCTCTGCTACTTTCCAGTTCATAAATAGGGAGCTGGATTGGAAGCAGAGCAGCCGTGACTTGAACTGCACCAAAAAGGATGCTTGTGCCACAGGCTGAGGATTAGCCTATTATGCCCCAGCAGCAGCCCTATAATACTGGATATTTTTAAAGGTTTATTATTATTATTATTATTATTATTATTTGAAAGGCCGGGATGTACACACACACAGCTATTACATGAAATGGTACCCATATAGGATGCTGGTGCATCAAGTGGAAGCTTAAGGTATTCACCATGGCAGTGGCCCTGGGAATATTGGATCTTATTAAATACTTTCTCTGCATCTATTGAGATGATCATATGGTCTTTGTTCTTTGACCTGTTGATGTGACTTACGACCATGGTTGATTTTTGAATATTGACCAATCTGCTTCTCTGGGATAGATCAAATTTGGTCTTGATATATGGTTTATTTAGATATAGTGTGTTTGACATGTTTTGTTAATATTTTGTTGAAATTTTTTGTATATGTTCACCAAGGATATTGTCCAATAGTTTTTTTTTTTTTTCTGTGCTGTCTCTTTGGTTTTGGTATTAGAGTGATGCTGGTCTCATAAGGGAATTTTTAGACTTTCAATATTTTAGAATAGTTTGAAAACTATTAGAGTTGCTTCCTCTTAAAAAGTTTTATAGAATTCAGTAGTAAATCCATCAAGTTCTAAACTTTCCTTTAATGGGAAACTTAATTACTGCTTCATTTTCCTGGATTGTTACAGCTATGTTCTAATTTCCTGTGTCTTCTTGATTTAATCTTGGTAGGTTGAATGTATTAAAAAATTTAAGCATTTCTTGGAGGTTTACCAATCTATTAGCATGTGCATGATGCATTTCTTCTATATTTCTGTGACTATCTATAATGTGTTTTTAGCTCAGAATTTCTGCTTTTTTTTGACAGTATGATTAAATTTTTTATTTTATTCTCAAAACCTAGCTTTTTGTTTATTTGGCATTGTGTTTTAAATTGGAATTTCATTTACTTCTTCTTTTATGTGTATTATTTCTCACCTTCTACTGAATTTTTGTTTTCCTAAGTCCTTGTGCATTATTAGTATCAGATCTTTCTATATATATATTTTAAGTCTAGTATTCACTCTACTAAACTTCCTTCTTAGTACGTTTTGTGCTTTATCCCATGGTTTTATTGTATTTCATTTTCATTTGCCTTAAGGCATTGAATTTTTTAAATTTAATTTATTCAGTGATCCATTGGTCATTCAGTAGTATGTTTTTAATTGTAACAAATCAGTAAATTTTTACTCTGATTTTTAGTTTTATTCATTTGTGGACTTATGTGCTATCAAAGTTTTTAAAGCTACTGAGACTTGACTTGTGGACTAATATATATTCTATCTTAGAAAACTTCTATAATAGGCTAATCCTTCCCATAAGGCACCAGCATCCCAAATGGTTACTGGTTTATGTCCTGGCTGCTCCACCTCTGATCCAGCTGCCTGCTTATGGTTTGGAAAAGTAGCAGAGGATGCCTCAAAGCCTTGGGATCCTGCATTTACATGGGAGACCCGCGACAAGTTCCTGTCTCCTTGCTTCAGATTAGCTCAATTCTGGTGAGTTGAGGAGTGAGCCAGAGGATGTAAGATTTTTCTCTCGTTCCTTCTCCTGATAACTTTGCCTTTCAAATGAGAATATATCTTAAGTGAGTTTTTGAGAAATAAATTCCATGTTCTGATGAGAAGAATATGTATTTGACAGCTGTTGGGTGAAATGTTCTATACATATCTGTTAGGTTCATTTTCTCCACAGTTTGGCCTAACTTTATGTTGATTTTCTGTCAGAATGGTATGTTCGCTCCTTAACAGTGGAGTGTTGAACTCTTCCACTGTCAGTGTATTACAGGCTATCTTTCCTTTGAGGCATAATAAAATTAGCTTTATATATCTGGATGGTCTTATATATACATATATTTATGATTGTATCTTCTTGCTGAAACGATTTATCAATATATAATGTTTCTTTTTACAGTTTTTGATTTAAAGTCTGTTTTATCTGGCATATATAGCTATTCCCACTTATTTTTGC